ATCATGAAGATTAAAATTCAATAAGATCAAAATATTTTTTTATATCTTTTTTTGTGGTGGGTTTATGGAATTGTGAAGACTCAGTAATCAGGAGAGATAGAGAAGAATGAAAAAACCCCTCCCTCACCCTAAAAATTCTGAGTGATCACAAAAATAAATTTTTGTCAGCTTGCCTGACAAGTGTATAAAGTACAAAAAGATTTAAAATTGTGAAACAGATTAAAAAGAATCCAGACAAAATATCTCTAAACAGATTTTAAAAAACAATACATCTTCAGAATATGGAAAAGTTTGGGTTAAATCTTAGCTTTCCTTTGCAAGAAAAGAGGTGTAGTCAATTAAGGCAATTTTACATCTTCCTAACAAAAGTACTTGGTTCAGATCTGACCTATACCTTGCACACAACAAACATTTAAAAGTGCTTGCTCATTCAAATTTAGAACTCTTTGCCCCTGACATTTCACTAACTGTCATGTTTTTCAACTTCCCATGCTTCTTTTACTTTGGTGATGGCTTCATCTAATTCTTCTTTCTTTGATTTTAAATCTTGGTCCACACTATTTAGACGTTCCTGAGAAGACTCTAATGTCTTAAATTCTTTCAAAAATGAAGCAACCACACCATAGAGCTCCTCATTAGATTGACATTTTGTCTTGATTTCGTCTGCATTTCCTTTACTTTCAGATGTGTCTCCTCCACTAGCTGAATGATCCATGACACTATCTGCACAGATTAAACATAATTTTTTTACCAGCTAAAAACTATAAACTGAAATTGAATACCAAAAAATGTATCTTGTGAGAAACCATTAAACCTTTAACTCTCAGAAGTGATTCACATGTAACTTCACCCTATATACAGGTTATGAGAATTTAAAAACTTATCAGGTAGAGGTTGTTCTCTTGATCTAATGCAAAATCATCGTAGCTGACTAACAAGCAAATGTATAGCAGCTAGAGGGGAAAATTAACAGTCAGATCTTGGGAGTTATGGGTTAATACATGTATGCTGTTGCTGATAGTAAAAAACGGTTTCCTGCGATAACCTTTCAATAATCAATTTGGCGACATTATCGACGTAACTAAGAGTGATGAGGTATCAGTAAACTCCAGAAATTAACTCACCTGAATGACTGGCCAGCTTGTTTCCTTTACCCTTTGATATTTGGGCTGATTCTCCAGCTACGATTGACGACTTAAACACGACATCATCGTCCCTTGCCGCTGCCAAATCTTCTAAAATCTGCTCGACTGACGGAGGAGAAGGACCTTGGTGTGCTTTTTGGCTGGACATTGAAAAGGAATCTAGAAACAACATCATGAATTTGTACATTCAATGAGGAAATTTCCTCCGCAAGGCCGCCATGATGGAAATTTGCATAACAGCTAAACCGCTGGCTACTTGTCAGTAGTAACCACTCTCTCCAGTCTTCCTCGTGCTTTTGGAATCTTGTGACAAGAAGAGAGCGGGAAATAAATTGTTCAATATGAGAAAATTAAATCTCGGAAAGCTACGTTGTTCCACACAATCAGCCGCCAAAAACAAGTCTCTGAGTGGCTCATCAGCAAGAGATCAGTCACAGACTACGATTTCCAGTTTTTTCATCACCAAACATTGCCCGGTGAACGATCCTTCCTCAGGTGAAACCGGCAGGACAACAGCTGATGGAAATAAGCTCACAAAGGGTGCTAAGGTATGCTTTCTAGTAAAACAGCTATTCATTGGTACACTGACATTGTGTTTCGAAACTGATATCGATATTGCAGTAAGATAAGAAACTTGTTTACATCACACTTGGGCTATCGTATAAACAACCATTGGACCCTACCTCACCTCTGAAATCCACAATCCACAATCCACACACACAAAAAAATGAACCTAGGTAGGATTTCGATTTATTGTTTCAATTTATTGATATTTATTTGTGATCTTTCAAACTATTAGAGGTGTGCCAGTAATATATCTCACAGTGAAGACAAGAACAATCCAAGCACACATTCAAAAAGGCAAAGAATATGTCTAAATCAGTCCATAAAGGAAGATGGAATAGTTGAAGATCATGTCACACTGAACAATAAGGAAGTACTGAGTAGTTCTACAATGGCCAAATTGAACTGCTTTAGAAAAGATTCAATCATGACTAATTTGCAAGTTGACAAAAAGCTGAGAAATCAGCCAGTCACAGAAATATATGGAGACAGAATTGAGCCAGACAAAGATCATAAAAACAAGAGCAATGGTGGAGCTATCTATGACAAGGATGACGATGGTTCAGAACCAATGGATTTTGATGAAAGAGTTCATCAGGAAAACTTAAATATCACTAAATTTGCTTGTACGTCACGTCCATCTGGAAGACCAATTCAGAACATCAAAAGTGTAGCAGAAAAGAATGAACCAGAAAGATATAAACCTGTCAACTTAAGGACTAAATCCACATATACACCTTTAGAACTTCAGTTTCTTGAAGTTAAATCCAAGTATCCTGATGTCATTTTACTTGTGGAGTGTGGCTATAGATACAGATTCTTTGGAGAGGATTCTGAGGTATATCATTAAAGATAAGTAGGGCAGTTGCTAAGCACTGGCTGCCTGGGGAATTCAGTAGATGAAAAAGCAATGATCACCAGCTAGATTTTTAGCCAGTGATTGCTTGGTAAAATATGTTGGGCACTTCTGAGGTTACACACCTACAATCATTTAATGTTGAATGCTATCTTTGAGAAGCCTCACTTGAAATTTCAGTCAGTAGCTTAATTTCTTAACCACAGCCATGGATAAAAAGAAATTAATAAAGCTTAGTTTTATCTATTGCTATTTTTTTAAGGACACTGTTAATTCTGAGAAGCTTTCATTAACCTATTTTTTTCAGATTGCTGCCAAGGAACTGAATATCACATGCCACTGGGATCATAATTTTATGACAGCAAGTATTCCTACCCACAGACTTCATGTTCATGTCAAAAGGTGATCAATTCTAGTAGGATGTATTACAAAAATAATTCCTCTTCCTCTATATAGGAAGATAGATTGTTACCATACTTGAATGTTTCTATGCCACACCCTCACATACCCACAGTCCAAAGAGCCTATCATATTGGGATTTACCTGGAATAGACAAGCATCCTTCTCAGGAGAAGTTAACTCACATTCTTATTCACCACTTCTTGTTACAGAGTGTCATGAAAGCTAGAATATGAAAGAAATAAGAAAGTTGTTATTTGTTTGTTGTGAGAGTAGGACCAAGAGAATAAAGCTGAGTCCTTCAGAAAGTATTGAGCCTCAAACATTTGGATTTTGTGGTCCGTTGCCCTACTAGTGACCCATTTAGATTTCATTGGTTAGTTGGACCATTTACTAGGTTTAGGATAAGCTCGCAGGAAGCAGGAACCAAGAACTGGACTTCTGACAATTGACCCCTTCACCACATGTGACTTACAGGCATTGTATTATCATACTGACAACCAAATATTTTCAGGTTGGTCAGTAAAGGTCATAAAGTTGGAGTAGTGAAACAAACAGAGACTGCTGCACTAAAGGCTGTTGGAGAAAATAAGAGTAAAGTATTCACAAGAAAATTGGAGGCATTGTATACAAAGACCACCTTGGTTGGGGAGGGTATCCTTTGTTTGAGATTGTGCAGGCCTGAAATAAAATGATGGGTGAGAATAAAGGGTGAGAGTCCCCCATTAACAATTTGCCAACCCTTCAGCCCTCATCACTCTTTTTGCAAAACTTTTAAAACATTCAGTCTTGTCATCTTGATATGCAATTCTCACCAAACAGTTGCCATATTTTTTACTTGAATTCAATTTTGTATTGACCTCAATGACACTAAGATATGAAGACTATGGAAGATTTAGATGAAGCAGATTCTGTGGAGATGGGAAGTGGATATCTCATGTGTCTTGTTGAAGGTGATCCGCAGGATTCTAAAATAAGCAGTGATAGAAAGCTGTTTGGATTGGTGGTAAGTAAATTTCATAATTGTGTGAGAGTTCCTTAGGGTCCTCAGGTCTACCTTAACTTTTAACTAACCCTTGGAAAGTCAACTACTCCCTTAAAAATTTGTGAGGTCCCTCTTAAGATACATTGTATGACAGATGCATTAGGTCCATTGTAAAAAAAACCTCATGGGAGTTCCTTGCTTTAAGGAGCCTAGAGTTCCTCACCAAGATCCTCAAGGCAAGTCCCTTCATAAAAGACCCTTATGTTCCTTGCAGAGTCAGTCCTAGAATTCAATGTTTCTCATTCAGATATCAAAATAGATGTACTTGGGTCTCTCTTGGATGGAAACTTCCAAATCCTCACACCCTTAAACTATGTTAAATAATAACCACATGGCTCAGTCCTGACCTCTTGTTTGGTTTTAAATTTTATATTCAGGCAGTTCAACCATCCACTGGTGATGTCATCTATGATGACTTTCAAGATGGGCCAAGCTATATGGAACTGGAGGCACATTTGGAACACATCTGCCCTGAAGAATTACTGCTGCCTGAATCCCTGACCATCCAAACAGAGAACTTCATCAAGGATTTTGTTACAAGGGTGCAAAGGTTTGTCATAAACTCTCTCCATTTAGAGGGAAACCTCAAAACTAAGAAAAATACCCCCCATTAAAGGGTCAGAGGAGAATATACTACATGATGGCAGGGACTATCCAAGTTCAGTGGTTAATTTCTACCCAATAAGAGCAGAATTCTCCAATTTGTGATGTTAATGGAACACTCCATAATACACAAAAATTCATTTATAAATTTTTCATGGTGGTACCAAAGATCAAAGAAAGGATCTCACCATAGTTAAACCTGGGTTGTAATACCTTTTCTTTTATGTCAATATTTCTAAAGCAAACAATTATTGCAGTATGTTCGGAATTCACAAATATAAGGGTGCCAAAAGGGATTCTTTAAAGTTATGATGCAATTTATGGAAGATGTATCTAACAAATCCCTATCCTTATTGTCCAGCATTCCTTGATAAGCTTGTAACATATTTTTCAAGAACCCCTTTAAATTTGTGTTTAGAAGTTTGGGTATCAATAGAAGCATTAAGGTTAATAGTGTTTTTTGTTACTGTTATGCAGACCAGAGGATAGTATAAGACTTGAAAGAATGCCTGATCAATTTTTTGATCATTCTACTTCTCTGAAATGCATCACTGAATTTTATGAGGAACAAAGGCCAGTGAGGAATGAAGAACTCTGCAAAGTAAACATTACCCAGGAACTGCAGGAAAACAGTTCAGCATTGGAAATAATCCTCAAGCTTCCCAAATCAGTTCAGTCTTGCTTTGCTGCACTTGTCAAATATCTTAAAGACTTCAGGCTGGAAAAAATTTTTAGGTCGATAAGGTATGTTCAAATAGTCCGGTAGTATTTCCTGAGCAATGCATGTGACAGATATACTTCTTATATGTGAGGATTGATTGATTCTCAATTGGTATTAATTGATAAATGTGTTTTTTTTTAATTCACAGTAACTTTTCAAGATTTTCTGTACAGAACAAGTTTCTAAAATTAAATGGCCAAACTCTGAGGAACTTGGAAATATTTAAGAATCAGGTATTTTGCTTGACTGATATTTACACTTGTTTTGATTGAATTACTTTTCTTGATAAGTCAAGAACTCTAAAAATTCAACTAGCTCCAAGAATTTGCGAGCATGAAACGTCTTAAAAAGGGAAAATTGAAGTGTTATTCAAAATTTAAATAAATTTCTTTAGCTTACTTTAAGGTGCATAAACATCCTAATTTTATCCACAGACAAATGGTAATGAAAAGTCGTCACTCTTCTGGATCATTAACCACACAACAACTGCATTTGGGCGAAGGCTTTTAAAGAAATGGATTTCACAACCTCTTCGAGATGTTAGGTGCAGGTTGCTCTTTCCCATGTTGTTTTTTACCAATCATAACTGTGGATCTGGACTGGTTTAACTTGAATTTTTCACTGAACATTTTTGTTTCAAGTCCATTTTCCACCCTCAACCGTTTTTTGTTTTTGTCTATTCTTGCCTCTGGGGTATTTTTCTTTTTCTTACTTTTATGTGAATACAATTTCTTAATAACGTGTCATATAGAAGGCACATTTAGCTTAGGTAGTTGTGCCCACTGCGCAACAGACGGATGTGTTCTGTGAATGCACCAAGGTGCACGGTTGTAGAAAACCCTTAAAGAGAATTTTCATCTCCTTTCTAAAAACTCAACATCTTTTGTGTACATTTCAATCAGTGAGATCGAGAAGAGGCTTGACGCCGTGACAGAGTTGTGCGGTCCTAGTGCATCATGTTTAGCATCCTTAAAAGGCCTTTTGTCGCAGCTTCCCGACCTAGAGAGAGGATTATGCACCATTTGCCATAAAAAGGTT